TCCCCCCCCCCCCCCTTCTCCTCCCCCGGGTTTGTCTTTTCCTTCTCCCCTTGTTGCCATCCCGACCAGACTTCTCTATGCCGTGGCTTGTCTACCTAGCTGGGGGAATGTTGTTCCCATGCCCGAGTATTCAACTTTCCTGAAAGATCCTGTGTTTTTTTGTCGTTTGGATTTTATGATATTTTTATTATTTTACTATGCATCAAGGACGTGGTGCAGAGTTGTGTGTGTTTGGCACCAGTTACAAAACAAATTTACTGTTTACTTTTGGAAATGAACAGCTGCTGTGGTGATTTTTTTCATAAAAAGGAGGATGAGGAGTCGGGATGATTTTGCGATTTTTCTTCATTGGCTGTGTGGCAGGGCTCCCGTAAAAGGTGGAAATTCACTACTTACGTTAGGGATAGGGGGTCAATGTCTTTTCAATTTTGGTAGCGACAGTGCATCGTCGTCCACTCTCCACTCGACCTGTATGATTCACGACAAAGGGCCCTCCTAAGAAAGTGGCGCCTCCACAGAGTGTGGAAGTAGTGGGATGAGTGCGAAGGGCGAATTTTATGTAACTAGTGTGGGTTAACTCAGTGCTGTGTGAACTGCACGTACCCCTGCCGTGTTGCAGGTCCCCCCTTTCCTTTCGCCTTGCCTCAAATGTCCGCACTTTTGTCTCTTTCACGTGTGGTGAGTGCCATGGCGAGGCCCGAGATATATAGCTTTTCGAGGTTTTTGTTTCGTTGTGGCATGGCACAGCAGGGTCCAGCTAAGGGGGCCCAGATAATTGCGATGGAATTCAAACTCGGGTCTCTATTTCAAGAGTTCATGGGTGTGCCAACCGAGCTAGGCACATTGGCTTTTCAGATGCGCATTTCTTTTCCTCGGCTCGCTGACTTTTACAGATGCCATTTGTTTTCTTGCCATATTGGCTTTTCAGGCGCACATTTGTTTTCTCAGTACTTTGGCTTTTCCGACGCGCATTTGTTTTCTTCGGCGCAGCGCTGTCAAGATTCTCCGTTCTGCTCGGTGCTTCCCGGAAAGGAATAGGCACCCCTATGAGCTCTGCTTGCGCACCGGCTTGCTGAGGTGCCCTCTCTCTCTCTCTCTCTCTCTCTCTATCTATCTATCTATCTATCTATCTCTATCTCTATCTCTATCTATCTATCTATCTATCTATCTATCTATCTATCTATCTATCTATCTATCTATCTATCTGTGTGTGCCCACGCTGCTGTCTCTTAAGATATCCAGAGTTCCATTCGCACGCGGCCCAGAAGGGAAATAGGTGAGTTTGCCCGTGCGTGGCTAAGTGCACCTTCTCCCCTCCCTGTCCCCCCCCTCTCCCCCCCTCTCCCTCCCTCCCTCTCCCTCCGTCCCTCTCCCCTCCCTCCCTCTCAGCGGTGTTGTGAGTGAAGAGGTGGGCAGTTCCGTTCACACTCGGCCCACAAAAGAAATAGGTGGGTTCGCCTGGCCCCACGAAGTGCACCCCCCGGCCCCATTCCTCTCCCCGTACATCCCTCCTTTGCTCTTCGCGCTCTGCATCCATCATACGTTTAGGGCTGCAGCTCCATTTTTTGAGTGGGTGCTATGTTACAAGCAGGACAGGACTTGTGCAGGCAACTATCGGAAGGAGTAGGTGGGGAGCATGCTGTGAATGCGGGAAGGCAGGGGGAGAAGGAACACTCGGGGGAGGTAGGGGGACAATGAACACTAGGGGGGGGGTAGGGGGAGAATGAACACTAGGGGGAGGTAGGGGGAGAATGAACACCAGGGGGAGAAGGAACAGAAGGACCTGGTCAGGCAGGCAGGAGAAGGTCGCGACTGAAATCTTGAGGGGCTGGAGTAGCAGGAGAAGGACGAAGGGAGGGTAAGGATTCAGGATCAGGAGGATGAGAGGGTCGGGATTTGGATGGTCAGGATGAGGTGGGCGACAGAGGACGCAAAAGGAGAGTCAACGGGATGGGGTGAAGCATGCAAGGTGAGTTTGCCGGAGTTGGGGAGGTTGTGGATGGGGAAGACGCCGAGGAGGTTCTCTTATATGAAGTAAATGGGAGAAGGATGTAGACCGCGGAGCCAATTTTGTGAAGAAGGGGATGAGCAGCACGGATTGGGAGGGGGCGGATCACGATGTGGGATCGAGAGGAGGAGAAGGTTGCAATGCCAGCCAATCAGGGTGTGGATGTAGGAACAGATGATGGGCAGGGGAAATAGGGTAAATTTGGATATGCAGGTGATTGAGGAGGGAGCAATGGAGAGAGAAAGAGCGACAGACGGAGGAAGAGAGGGAAGGACATACCAGGCCCGCAGGGGCCACATCGAGTTTTTTTCTTTTCTTTTCACATAGAGTATTTGAGGAGGAGCAGGAGCTCGAAGAGGATCCCAACAGAGGACAGAAAGGCGTGGTGAAAGACGTGAAGAGAGAGGCGACAGACACACTACAAGGAGAGAAAAGGATAAGGGAAAGCGGATTGCTGGTGGAAAGATCGGGAGGGGGGATGGAGGGCACAAGTTCAAAGATGGAATTGGAGAGGGGACAGACACGACAAGGAGAGAAAAGGATAAGGGAAAGCGGATTGCCGGTGGAAAGATCAGGAGGGGGGATGGAGGGCACAAGTTCAAAGATGGAATTGGACAGGCGCAAGGGAGCCGATGGAGAAGAAAGAGAGGGTCAAAGGAGGGAGAGAGAGAGAGAGAGAGAGAGAGAGAGAGAGAGAGAGAGAGAGAGAGAGAGGTTGGGCCGGAAGAAGGGCAGGACAGAGGGCATTTGACTGTCTTTCGTGACCGGATGAATACCCTAGAGAGAGAGAGAGAGAGAGAGAGAGAGAGAGAGAGAGAGAGAGAGAGAGAGAGAGAGAGAG